AAGAAGAAGAAGAATAATAATAACAAGAAATGATTGTAACAGGATGCTGTTACGAAGTCTCCCAAACGAAGCTCCCATAATTCGTAATTCCCAGGGTCGCCTGACATTGGGCAACATCCAGTGAAAATTGGTTTGGTCCAGTAAAGTTATATGCATTAGTGATGCCTGGGGACTAACCTTGTATATCATTCAAATCATCTTGGCATGACAAACCAGAATATATATGGTTTAGGGGTGGGGATCTCGACCATTTACAAGATACTAGAACATTGGGGGTGGGGAGGAACGCCTGGGGACCGACCCTATACGTCATTCAAATGTTCATTACATGACGAACAGGAATATATATGGTTTAGGGGTGGGGATCTCAACCATTTACAAGATATTAGAACATTGGGGGTGGGGGAACCCCTGGGGACTGACCGTATACGTCATTCAAATGTTCGAGACATGACAAATAGGAAAATATATGGTTTAGGGGTGGGGATCTCAACCATTTACAAGATATTAGAACTTTCTCAAATGGCAGGGTGTCGGGATGACCCCTGGGGACTAACCCTGTATATCATTCAAACCATCTTCGCATGACAAACCAGAATATATATGGTTTAGGGGTGGGGATCTTGACCACTTACAAGATATTAGAACTTTCTTAAATGGCAGGGGGTGGGGGTGACCCCTGGGGACTAACCCTGTATTTCATTTGATGTGCCTTATCATGACAAACCAGAATATATATGGTTTAGGGGTGGGGATCTCGACCATTTACAACTTATTAGAACTTTCTCAAATGGCAGGGGGTCGGGATGACCCCTGGGGACTAATCCTGTATATCATTCAAACCATCTTAGCATGACAAACCAGAATATATATGGTTTAGGGGTGGGGATCTTGACCACTTAGAAGATATTAGAACTTTCTTAAATGGCAGGGGGTGGGGGTGACCCCTGGGGACTAACCCTGTATTACATTTGATGTGCTATATCATGACAAACTAGAATATATATGGTTTAGGGGTGGGGATCTTGACCACTTAGAAGATATTAGAACTTTCTTAAATGGCAGGGGGTGGGGGTGACCCCTGGGGACTAACCCTGTATTACATTTGATGTGCTTTATCATGACAAACCAGAATATATATGGTTTAGGGGTGGGGATCTCGACCATTTACAAGATATTAGAACTTTCTCAAATGGCAGGGGGTCGGGATGAGCCCTGGGGACTAACCCTGTATATCATTCAAACCATCTTAGCATAACAAACCAAAATATATATGGTTTAGGGGTGGGGATCTTGACCACTTACAAGGTATTAGAACTTTCTTAAATGGCAGGGGGTGGGGGTGGCCCCTGGGGACTAACCCTGTATTTCATTTAATGGGCTTTATCATTTAGAACATTTTCAATTAAAAAGATTGTGTCTATCACAAACGGTTTTCAATTTATAATCATTTGAAAATTTTAAAAAATAAAATCCCATAGGGTTCTATAGTAAAACCCTCTTTTCTTTTTGCCCCTCAAAGTACCCCTTTATAAACCCCATTGCACAAACAAAACCCTGATTGCACCACTAGACATGTTAGTCTAACATATTGTGAAACCCTAAGTTAATCTGATAAGCGGTTTTGGAGAACGGGTGCGGACAAGTTCAAATTTAAAAGCGGCGGAAGAAGAAGAAGAAGAAGAAGAAGAAGAATAATAATAATAATAAGAACTGAGCAAAAACAATAAGTCTTCCCAAACTTCGTTTGGGAGACTTAATAATAAGAACTGAGCAAAAACAATAAGTCTTCCCAAACTTCGTTTGGGAGACTTAATTAAAAAGAGGACATGCTGGCTATCTAAATTGATGGGTATATTTTTTGTCGTCATTGTGTTGCAATGTTGCTGTCATTTGTATTATACAATCCATTCTGACATCAAAATATTGCTGATTTACTATGTGGCTATATAGATTTACATGATAAAGTGCAAATATGGTCAGTTTTGGTTGATGCTTTAAAATAATTTTGTTATAAGCGTCAGCCTGAGGTATCAAAACTACTGAAATTTTCTTGCGAGACAATATTTTAAATAAAAGAGGTCATGCTGGCTATCTAGATTGATCAGGACAAATTTTTGTTGTCATTGTATTGCACTGTTGCTGTCATTTGTGTTATACAATCCATCCTGACAACAAGATATTGCTGATTTACTATGTGGCTTTATAGATATACATAATAAAGTGCAAATATGGTCAGTTTTTGTTGATGCGTTAAAATAATTTTGTTATACGAGTCAACCTGAGGTATCAAAACTACTGAAATTTTGTTGCGAGACAATATATTGAATAAAAAGAGGACATGCTGGCAATCTAGATTGATGGGGACAAATTTTTGTCATTGTACATGTTGTTTTGCAATGTTGCTGTCATTTGTATTATACAATCCACCCTGATATCAAAATATTGTTGATTTACTATGCGGCTATATAGATCTATATAATAAAGTGAAAATATAATGGTCAGTTTTGGTTGATGAGTTAAATAATTTTGTTATATGAGTCAGCCTGAGGTATCAAAATTACTGAAATTTTGTAGCGAGACAATATTTTTAATAAAAGGAGGGCAAAAATATTTTCAAATTTTTTAACCCTATATAAATTAACAGATTGACACACTCCCCATTTCCATTCTCAATTTTATAATTATAAGTGCAAATATGGTCAGTTTTGGTTGATGCTTAAAATAATTTTGTTGTACATGTTGTACATGTACCAGTCATCCTGAAGTATTAATTTTTGGCATTGTTTGTCGGTTTTATCTGAAAACCAAGTTTATAAGATTTACCATACATGTTAAAACCGATAATAATAGCATTGTAACCAATATCGTTTCTAATTTATGGATAGGCAGATCGCGGATAAATTTGCATTACAAGCAAAGTTTTATGCGTACTTTATTTACAAATACATGTATATATATTTAATCTGTATTGATTATATAACCATCATAGGCATGACCACGGAGATTTTAATTTTATACATTAATTTACAATATTGTGATCAAAATTCGTTTTTTAAATCAAATAAATAATTTTGTAGTCGCACGCTTTCTTTGAAATTTAATTGCATTATGGGTAATTTCGGATCGTGTAGATAGAATGGGGAATGGTGTAATGTGTAAGGTGTATGGTGCAAAGGTGTAACGTGTATGGTGTAATGGCACAAGGTGTATGGTGTAATGGTGTATGGTGAATGGTGTAATGGTGTATGGTGTGAGTGGGAAGTTTACACCATCCAAGGACTGTATATACAGTTTAATCCTAAACACTTCAGGCTAAATTTACCTATTTTAACTTTTGACACAAAATCCATTACAGGAAACTTCCGTTTTTCTCGGACTTTTCTCATATCAATTTCGAGTTTCTCGGACTTTTTCTCTGTCCGTATCGATTTTGTAAACAAAAATGTCTAATGAAAATTTTACGAGGTTGACATTTTCAAAAAGCGGAAGATTTCAAATTTTAACGGGAGGGACGGAAGATAGTCTGAAAAGCGGGAGATTTTGACTCCCGCTGGAAGAATCACATGTATGTGATTGAACATGTGGTTGAACTTATTTTTATAACAGATTCATACACCATGCATTGCTTATGAAATTTTTAATAAAAAAATGTTTTCTTGACAAGTTTGGGAATTCAAATACACATCATATTGTAGCTTAAATATCAAAGTATAACATTTGACCTATAATGGTTTACTTTTACAAATTGTGACCTGGATGGAGAGTTGTCTCATTGGCACTGACATACCACATCCTATCATCAATAAATTGCATGACATTCACTGGATAGGATCTAAAAATAATGATCACTACACTGCACTATTTTGTTTGAACTATCAAAGGTAGTGATCAACCTTGGAAAATATAGATTTCAAGTAAGTTCCATAGGGTTTTGATTGCATTTCATGCAATCTTTACCCAAAAAAACAACATCCATGCCATCCTTTTAGAGTTTCATGTGATTTTCATACTTCCTAACTTTTTTGTAGGATGTGATATACCATGTTTGGCATATTTTATCTTTAATTTGAAAGTTAATACTAATTTTTTTTTTTGGGGGGGGGGGGAGGGGGGGGGGACTTTAATTTCAGATAATTGATTTACGTTCAATGCTTAGTATTACATACCTGTCAACTGACCCGTATACTACGGGTGAGACCCGTGAATTTCACCCCATACCCAGGATTTTTTAAATATCAGAATATCAGAATATTACATTCTTTTATTTATCTACCTTAGAACAATTAAAAAATTATTTTGAAAATTATTTTTTTTATCTCTACTTCCTTTAAATGCTTAATTTTTTTTTATTATATTTCAATATAAAAAAACTCTGAGTAGCTGCACATTATGATACATACTGAGAAATAAGTTCTAAAGAAAAAAAATAAACCAAGTAGCTTGAGAATTGATATTAAACTATGAATGAAACAAGGAGAGGGTATGGCTTGGCTTGTAATGATAAAGTACAACACATTAATATTTCAATGGCTTCTTATGCAAGGAATAAAATTAAAGTTTTAAATTATTTTCAGTTAGTACTTAACCATGTGAACATAATTTGGAAACTGTTCGATTTAAAATATAAAGAAATGTCCCCTAAATACTTAAATTCAGCTGAAAAAAAGTTTGTACGCGTTATGACCTAAGATTTTCTTCTTCAATGCAGGTCATGACCTGCATTTTCATTTTCATAGGTTGACAGGTATGGTATTACTAGACCTACAAAAAGTGTGGTACAATAACTAATCCCATGGTTTTCCTTACTAATTGCTTTACTATGTTACTTTGTTATTAAGTTACAGACAATTACAAGTTGCTCTTTAACTGTGCTTCAATGTCACCATCTTTACAATAATTTGAACTTTTATACTCTAGAAAGCTCATTTGTTCTTTGAGTAACTTTTTTCCCCTTTTGATTATGAAGTAACTAAATCATTCTGAAGAAGCATACATACGTAATTCTCAATATCCCCTTCAAATTGAAGTGCTTGGTAGTACCTTTATAAAGAAGAAAACAATATTATAAATTTTGAAAAGAAAACTATATTACTGTAATGAAAAATATCATTTATTTTAATGAATAAATCAATCTGTGAAAGGTAGTTTGATGTTTATACTACTGTAAATTCAGAAATTATTGCGAGGTTTTTATCTATGCAAATAATGTGACTAGTTGAGTATCGCAATAATAAGAACTCACATTCTGATATCTTATATGTATATCTGTATGCAGATTTCCCTAAAACGCAATAATTAATCTCGCATTTATGTCCATTCTACAAAAATCGCAATAATAAATGCACACAATAATTTCTGAATCTACAGTATTTACATTAGAGCTCTAGATTTTCATGAGGTCATTGTTTTCCTATGGAACTACTATTAACAGAATAAGACATTTTGAATATAAAAACATATGAAAAGGTACGTCAAATGCTCACCAAATTCATAGTCCAACAAGTTTATTGGATCAATTACAAGTTTTTCTAGTCCTACTGTCATGACATTGGTACACATGTTCACATCCAGGAAGGCATGAAATGATCTGTCCAGAAAATCTACATCAATACAACAGTACACTGCAGTACAATGTGATGGAATCATACATGATACAGGACTAGGCAGTGGTGTCAAAGATACATCTAGTGGGCAAGCTGAAATACAGAGAAAAGTAAAACTTTAAATTTGCCCAATAGACTTTACTTCTAGAACAGTAGCCTTTTTCATAAAAAAATCTTACAACTATAAAGATTGGTCATAAATTATACTGAAATATTCATATTCCATTATATTAATGTTCTAATTCTTTTACTGTATTTTTCTGTGTCATTTTGTCTCTTGTGAAGAGTTGTCTCATTGGCAATCAAACCACATCTTCTTTTTTATATGACTTGCGAGTATTATTTCTCGTTTTTTCGAAATTCAGATCACGGATTCTCAGATGTTTAATTTATGCCTAATAAACTTTACCAAAAGAACAGACTGTAATTTTTACCCAATAAACCAGACTTTCAATTTTGCAAATTATACTGTACCATTGAGAGAGATGTTTCAATTTGGTCTAATTGACTTTCCTGAAAAAGTGGAGGCATTTAATTTGATATTGGATATATTCACAACAAAACTAACAAGTGAAACTGCGAGCTACTGCTCACTGATGATACCCCCAAACATTTCGTTAAACAGGAAGTTGTTGAGTGATGAATCTGAAAATGCATCACACGGTATAGCTGACTTATATAAACCCTGAAACCAAATTTCTTGTATTGTAGTTCCTGAGAAAGATGCGACGAAAAATATTGGGACGGAAGGACGGACTGACGGACGGACTGACGGATGACAGACAGAGGTAAAACAGTATACCCCCACTTTTTTAAAGCGGGGGTATAATTAAAAACTATTCCATTTAGCTCAAAAAAACTAATACTAGCTGAATACTCTTATGTTAATCATTTTGATTTTGTTACTCATTGAAACTTACTTTTCTTCCAACCATTCAGAACTGGGCTGTACTTGGAACCAGATCTTTGACATGACTCTTCATTTAGAAGTCTACCAATACCAAGCTGTTCAAATAGCGTAGCAATTACAAGTTTTGACAGCTGTTGTCCTGATGGAATACTGACCTTCTCCAGCCAATTTTCTAAAGAAAACCCTGAAATATAAATGTACTTTGCAAATTTCTTGATAAACAGATCCAACTTATATTTTACTTTTGGCATTAGCAAGCAGGATATAAAACCTGGAGTTAATGTTGAACACTAAGTGAGTTAATTTTCCAGAGACATGATATAAGGGCAAGAACTAATTTTACTATAAAATCAAAACTCTCAGTCATACAATATAAGTGAAAGTTAACATGGAAATAAGTCGCAAGAATACATATGACAACCCATGAAAAGTCCTTGCTCTTACTCCTAACTACTTCATGTCTTTTCTAGCAGTAAATATGAAAATATGTCTTTGGTTCAACTCATCTAGGGACTAGACCAGGGCTCCAAAATATATTTGAGACAGCCAGATAATTTTTTTTTCTTATTCAAATTTTAATCTCTTTTGATATAAATCTGATGTTCTGACCTAAACTGTTACATTGACAGTGCATCACACAAAATGCTCAGCGTAATTATATCAGCCTTAGACTCTTTATTAATGCAAAATCACGCTGTAAAACCCTTTACCTTTGTTTTTAAAAACCACATTTTCCTAATATGGATGTTGACTTCACAATGGTAAAACATGGACTAAAAACAGATACGTAAATTCTTTGTAAATAGATATAAGAAGATGTGGTATGAGTGCCAATGAGACAACTCTCCATCCAAGTCACAAATTTGGAAAAAGTAAACCATTATAGGTCAAAGTACAACCTTCAACACGGAGCCTTGGCTCACACCGAAACCACAAGCTATTAAGGGCCCCAAAAATGACTAGTGTAAAACAATTCAAACAGGAAAACCAACGGTCTAATCTATATAAAAAATGAGAAACAAGAAACACATATGAACCACATCAACAAACAACAACCACTGAACATCAGGTTCCTGACTTAGGACAGCTAGTTTACAAAGCATCAAATTAGCTTAAGTAGTTCCTTCCACCTTATTTCTTCAAGAAAATACTTGAAATAAATGTAAGATAAAGAGATCAATGATATTTTTAGTATTTTTGAAGAATTTGGTTGCATAATTAAATCTTACACCCGCGCACATGTGTCCTAGTTCAAACAACATTGTTACATGGTTCTGGTGATTTTTCCTTAAAACTTTTATTACTACCTTTTAAATTTATCATCAAATGATATTTTAATACGAATTTGAAAGACTAAATTAAATATAGATTCAAACCAGTGAAATTTAAAAAAAATAACTGTAAATAGACAAATCGATGTCTGGTGCAATATAGTTTACCTGTAATCTGGACAGGTATATCTCAGCTGTCAGACAACTAGTTAACCTTGATTGTAATAAGTAGGTGTTAAAATTGGGCTTGTTTTTATAATGCTCATTCATCATGTCACTTTTATGACCGGAAATGTGTGGCTGTTTAAGACAAAAGGTCAGGTCAAAAGGATAGAATAAACTTCAATTTTTGGCAAATTATATTAAATTGCAAACCCATGTTCAGGCTCGGCACAACCGGTTGAAAATATAATTCATCAGACTTGTGTGGACAATACGACTGTTTTGGAAGCCCTGGACTAAACCCAGGGTCCCGAAGACTTAAGATTAGTTAACCTTAGTGGTAGTTCATTAATATAAGATTTTATGTAGCAAATTTAAAATTAAAGTACAATATTTCAATCTAATTCACCTTCAATATCAAAACCAGTATTCCAGTCACATGGTATCTTTGGAAGAGGTGAATCCTGCAGTACTACCCAATGGAACATTGTCTCCCCTGGATTAAACTGTACACTAATGTTAAGACTGACTTTGAACTGTTTTTCATCCTCCATGTTATCAAAACTGTAACTGAAATTAAACAATGCACTTTCTCAGTAAAATTGAAATATAATTAAAAACTGTATCATGGGGACTTTACAAATTAATACAATAATTATCTAACACTTTTCAAACAGTTTAAAAACATACATTCAAAAATATCGGTCCCCCATCTTACTTTTGAGAATGAAGAGTTCAAAATTTAAAATCAAAGCATCATGGATGTTGTGATTCAGCCAATTTTGAAGCTAGTCTGACATTTTTCTGACCATACTTTCAATAATTATTTTGTTTTCTTCATTTCCATAATCTCACTGTAAAATTTCTATTCTATTGCCAAAAGATGGAGAATTTTGCAATATTGATGCAATTTATTTTGGTATTTCAATTGAAGACTATGTCAGATTTTTTTACATCTTTTTTTTTTTAGAAACATTTGAAATTCAATGATTTTTACAAGAATGTTAAGCGAAATTTTCAAATGTGTAGCTTATTTTTTATATGCCATTAACAATAATTGGCTTAATAATTTCCAGAAAGAGGCATTAAAAATGCCCTTTCTCAACAACAACAAAAATAGATAACTAACTTTTATCTAAATTGGTGTTCATTCTTCATTAAGGAAAAATATATTTCCTGTAATCAAATATACATGTACAAATACCAGATGCTGAGATAATTCAAATTACTGTTAAATAGCAATATAATGGGGAATATACAAATAAATTTATTGCAGAAAATGCTCCGGTAAAAGCATGGAAGTATTATATTGACAGGAACTACTACGACCCAACTCAACCGTTTCATCTGCAATGCTGTGCGCAATTTAATGACATGTTAATTAACTTGAAACATGGCACATTATTTACACACCAGTGTGTGGTGCCTACAATAATGTAATTCTTGGTTGCTTTCGTGATTACGGAAATAAACAAAGAAATCAAAAGTTGTGATAAATTCTAAGGAAACAGCAATCGGCAAACCTCGGCAGATTTCGTTACCCTACATCTGCCTATGTGTGTCGATTGATAGATTGATGGATTTGTGCGCAACATCATTAATTCTAGAAAAAAACATTGACGATGAAATTTGTACCATATTAATTGAATAAATACACCATGTTTATTGATTTATTTTTGGTAAAAACTGCACTATCTAAATATATATCACAAGTTGTGATTAATTACCGTTTGTTTAACTCCAGTGGCATACATTTCATGCATATTTAAGACGATTGTAAAATGATTGTTGTGATTAAAATAAAAAAATCAAAGAGATTTCAAATAGATGTAAGAAATATAAGACTTCGCTTTAAATCCAGGGTACGATCATTAGTTGTTGGCATACGAATATTTCTGCTGAGCCCCAGTGTGTTCAAATTTATTTAAGTACTGTAGCTCTAAAGTAATATTTAGTGGTATCATTTGGACAGAAAATTATCAAATATTATATGGGACAGAGATGATTTAACCATTCCATAACATTTTATATGTCTTCGTTTTTTTCTCAAATTGATAATGCGGGTCCAATCATAAGTCATGATTGGCACATTCATAAATGTACAAATAGAAATACTGACACCGGCTGTATATTATCGGACAAAATTCGTTCAAATACAAATATTTTAGCAGTTTTGAATTTAACAAATGCCAAAAAATTAATAGGCACATATATACATATAAATAACAAGGTACGTCCTTTATTAACTATATTTGATTTCTGTGTTATTTAGTCCTTGATCGATTAATTTTCACATTTAAAACTGAAAATTTCTACTATCCAGGATAATCCAGGTCCTTTACTATATATATTAATCAATTGGTGTATATTTATATCAGGAACATTTTCATGACTCGGCAGTAACTGGAACACACCCTTACGACAGTTAAAACTTAACCCCTGAAGAAATGAAATAATGTCACTTACAATTTTGAAACGTTGTAGAATAATTAATTCTGGGCCGATTTTCATTTTTTATGCATCAGTCGATTTGTTTAAATAAGTTGTTTATGAATAAAGGTCAACCGATGCCATTAAAATGAGCAAAGGTATTTTTCCACAGGTATCAACGTTAACGTGTCTCGATAAAAACCATGTGATTGATAAGAAGTATCTCTGGTCAATTTATGATCGCGGCATTGCAGATAGCCACAAAAGAAATTAACGACAGCGTACTAATTAGACAGTTTCCATATCTTTTCTACAGTACTACCCGGGTTATGAATAAGTGCTAATTAATCGTTGTAGTTCCTGTCAATATAATACTTCCATGGGTAAAAGTTGTGCAATTGTGTGTGTTTATTACTTCAACCAAATTACTGATAATTGTAACTTAAATAGACCTTAATTATTAACTTATGTCAGATGATTATGATACTGATTTTACAACTATTGAGGTCAAGATTCTGTGTATTCAATTTTTTGAACTCAATTAATACCAGTATGATTATCAACTGTCATGATATATTAATATAACTGTGGTCAATAAAAACTGCATTTGAGTGGAGTTTAATCCAATTAATACTTACACCTCTGAGTGTAATTGTTTGAAAATCGTAACAGCTGTCCATCATACTGGTATTGTAATAATCTCATTTTCCTAATGAAAGACTGGGAATAATGGCATTTCAAAAAAAGTGTGGGAATCAACTCTGATATCAATACACTTCTGGAACCAAATTTTATTCAATGACTTATAGGAACATAAGATACTGATAAAACACTTTCATTATTATTATCAACTGCTTAAATTTGAAAAATCACATTTTCCACATTAACTAATAAATGGCAATTTAATATAAATTTTGATTTACAAAGGAACTATATGCAAGCGTATATCTAAAATAAAGAAGTTGTTCGCCCAACCTTTTCTTAATTTAAGGACAAATAACATGTTAAAAGTTGGCAGTTGATGATTAAAATGGTGTATAAAGTTTCTACAAGTCATAGAAACACATAATTATTTTCCTGACATGTAGTTGACTAATATCGGACCAAAATCAGATTTCTTTCGAGATCCCGTATTTCCGTAAATTTTTTAATACAATCAGTAGAGTGTATTTTGACACAAAATTCTATGAAAAATACAGACAAACTGTACAAGTAATCACCTCTGCATTGGGTACCAATTCCTGTTAGTTTTTTTTGTTTAATAGCTATTTTACAAAAGTGTAAAATTAGCTATCATTTGAGAAAAAGTTGTCTTATCTGACTAAAATCACATATTCTTTCTTTGATTATGAATAATTGAACAACAGCAGTATATTTTTTATTTATCATAACTTAAGTGATTATTATAATTTTCAATCATTTCAATAATAACTAGCATCTTTTTTTGCCCATGCATCATACTTACTCTAAATAAACAACCTCACCAAGTTTTAATGTGTCTTTTACACCTGAAAAAAAAAAGTATTGCACTACTTTAAATTTTTCTTTTGCATTTTGAAATAGTATTATTTCAACAAACTCTCAGTTTCAAGGGTGCAATTATCAAACACTAAAAAAATTCAAAATTATACTTTTTTTTATTGAAGGATAAACTTATCACAATTTGTCATAAACTAAAGCTAATTTAGAGCATATGACGTATTGTAAAATAAAATTTCTATTGATGAATAAAATTGAGAATGGAAATGGGGAATGTGTCAAAGAGACAACAACCCGACTATAGAGCAGACAACAGCCGAAGGCCACCAATGGGTCTTCAATGCAGCGAGAAACTCCCGCACCCGGAGGAGTCCTTCAGCTGGCCCCTAAACAAATATGTATACTAGTTCAGTGATAATGGACGTCATACTAAACTCCAAATTATACACAAGAAACTAAAACCAAAAATGATACAAGACTAACAAAGGCTAGAGGCTCCTGACTTGGCACAGGCGCAAAAATGCGGCGGGGTTAAACATGTTTTTTGAGATCTCAACCCTCCCCCTATACCTCTAGCCAATGTAGAAGTCTACATTCAGATGTTTTTGTTTTTTTCATGTGTTTTGAGATTTCTTTATGAAACAGCAAGCATTTCATTATCAAAGTAATTTGACATGAATAGCTAATCTAAAGTTTCTTTAGTTTAACCAATTTAGAGCTTGACATATGGAATTGACACAAGTTTGTCATTACAGACTCCAGATGTTTCTTTTTAAACTTATGTTGATGGGTTGCTGTTTATTGACATTTAGATCCTTTATATTTTTTTCATATGTAACCATTGCAATTCTATCAAAAGTTCTTTACATCAAAATATACTCTTAAGACATATTTTAAAATTATTTACCCCACTGGAACTTCAGCGAAGAAAATTCAAATTTAAGTTTCTCAATTGTAAAGGAAATGTTTCTTTTGCAGGAATCAATATCCAACATGACATGGAAGTTTCTTTTCAAGAAGGCAACAGTGAAACAGCAATCAATTGCTGTACAACTTTTTAAAAGTCTGCAGGAAATTTGTCCAGATAATGATGGCAACTGCACAGAGCGAGGACATTCTGAAATAAAAAATCAATAATACAATAATTTGCTTTTCATGTTCTTATATAAAATCAAAATCCTTGTAAAAAGCTTTACAATCATCTCGCTGCATTAAATTTCTACTGATTTAGGTTGTATCTTTATAACTAGCTAATAAAATCAAAGGCATATTACATGTCTCTGATAAAATTATATTTGCACCTTGCATAAAAATCTTACGAGCATCAACCAAAGTCTTTTTAACATAGTTTGAGTTTTCATTTTACCCTCTACTCATAATAATTGAGTTTCGAACCGGTGCATATGCTTCATATTATGGGCATTATAAAAAAAAAAACTTAGAAAACACAACAAATTTGGTGGAGTCTAATGGAGAGCTTTTCTCCATATTTTAGAACAGTGTTTGCCAATCAGAAACATTCATTTTAAAATTTGAATAAGTATGCAATATCCTTTCTATATACATGATATCAGCTTATTATTTCTCTCACAGGCCTCTGTATTTATCAGCAAGCTTGATGAAAATCTACTTGTTAATTTTCGTTGGCCTAATAACAAGTTTATAATACAACAAGAGTGCACACGCTGAAATGTCTCGCCTTCTTTACTTATCATTGATATTATGTTGATAGTCCTAAATATAAAGCTTTATTACAACTGTCACATAAACTTAACATTAACCAAGTAAACTAAACATTGACCAATGAACCATGAAAATGAGGTCAGGGTCAGATGAACCATGCTAGGCAGGCATGTACATCTAACAATTCTTCCATACAACAAATATAGTTTACCTATTGCTTATAGTTTAAGAAAAACAGACCAAAACACAAAAACTTAATACTGAGCAATAAACCTTGAAAATGAGGTCAAGGTCAAATAAAACCTGACAGACTGACATATAGATCATAAAATATTTCCATACACCAAATATAGTTGAACTATTGCATATAGTATTAGAAAAAAAGACCAAAACTCAAAACTTAACTTTGACCACTGAACCATAAAAATGAGGTCAAGGTCAGATGACACCTGCCAGCTAGACATGTACACCTTACAATCATTCCATACACCAAATATAGTAGACCTAATGCATACAGTATAAGAAAAACAGACAAAAACACAAAAACTTAACTATAACCACTGAACCTTGCAAATGAGGTCAAGGTCAGATGACACCTGCCAGTTGGACATTTACACCTTACAGTCCTTCCATACACCGAATATACTAGACCTATTGCTTATAGTATCTGAGATATGGACTTGACCACCAAAACTTAACCTTGTTCACTGATCCATGAAATGAGGTCGAGGTCAAGTGAAAACTGTCTGACGGGCATGAGGACCTTGCAAGGTACGCACATACCAAATAGAGTTATCCTATTACTTATAATAAGAGAGAATTTAACATTACAAAAAATCTTAACTTTTTTTTTCAAGTAGTCACTGAACCATGAAAATGAGGTCAAGGACATTGGACATGTGACTGACGGAAACTTCGTAACATGAGGCATCCATACACAAAGTATGAAGCATCCAGATCTTCCACCTTCTAAAATATAAAGCTTTTAAGAAGTTAGCCAACGCCACCGCCACCGCCGGATCACTATCCCTATGTCGAGCTTTCTGCGACAAAAGTCGCAGGCTCGACAAAAATGTATAATCTTACCATTCACCCAGGTGTTTCCTGTCACAACACATTGTGGACTTTGTAGATTATCTGTTATACCCAAATGATTCATGATCTGAGTAATGACAATGTCTTCCAGATTATCATTTACTGACAACCCTTTGTTACCAAGGAAACCATTCAAAGAAAATCCTGTAAAATTAAGAAATACTATTAATCAGTTTCATGGGAACTTTTTATCCTGTTTTTTCTTCTTCAAATGTTAGTGGATCAGGCAAAACAACAAAATATTACAAGTATTTAGAATTTCTTTTTCTTTTTATTATAGACCTGCAATTGTGTCCCTTTTTGCGACCATGAGTGCCAATAAAATAAAATATTCAGGGGTAGGCATTTTGAATCATAAAAATAAAGGGCAGGTTAGGGAACTTTAAGCACAAGTATTTTCTATTCTAGCCTTATGGGTTAGCAAAGAAACTATATAATAAAACAAAATATTGGTTTCAACAATGGAGTGGGGCATTAACATCGTATGACGTCACAATATCGTCATACAACATGTATGTCTCTTTTTCATGAAAATGAAGAAAATAACTGACTTACGCAGTTTTCCGTCCATTTCTTCTTTGAGGAAACATTTTGCAGTCAAGAAACAACAACATAATTTTAGTGAAGCTTTATCAATATTATAGCTATCTACATAATTTCACCAAATACACATTTGTTACCCATACTTTTCCAATCCAAAACATAACAGAAACGAAATTCAGCAATTTTTATGTTTATAAAGGGACATAACTCAAAAATGGTAAAAGTGTCGCCACCAAATTTCGTACTTAATCTGTATTATGTAGTAATAAGCATTGTGTATAAGTTTCATAACATTTGGCTGAGGCAAACTAAAGTTAGAAAACGGAAACAAAAGATTTGCACTTGATCTTAGTTTTGTGGTAATGAATATTGTGTATAGGTTTCATAATGTTTGGTTGGGGCAAACTTAAGTTACAGAATGGAAACTAAAAATTTGGCAATCTTTTGATTTATAAAGGGGCATAACTCAATAATGGTTATAGTGACAATACCCAAATTAAACTTGATCTGTGTTTTATCAGTGGAAGTCAAAATTAAACATTGCATTGTATAAAGCATTGATTGTAGTTGATTCAACTATAATCATGGACAAAGGAAGATAACTCCAATTTAAAAAATTACTTGATATTTAGAAGAAAATAAAAATTTTGCAATTTTTCCATTTATAAAGGGGCATAACTCTAGAACGGTTAAAGTGACGCCACCAAATTTCAAACTTTATCTGTGTTTTGTAGTAATAAGTATTGTGTATAAGTTTCATAACATTTGGTTGAGGCAAACTTAAGTTAGAGAACGGAAACTAAAAATTTTGCAATTTTTCCATTTAAAAAGGGGCATAACTCTAGAACGGTTAAAGTGACGCCACCAAAATTCTAACTTGATCTGTGTTTTGTGGTAATAAGCATTGTGTATAAGTTTCATAACATTTGGTTGAGGCAAACTCAAGTTAGAGAACGGAAACCAATTTTGGGACATACGTACATACGTACAGACGGACAAGGGTAAATCTTAATGCCCCCACAGCTACGGCGGGGGCATAATAACTGAAAACCATACCTGATAAAGTGGAGCTCCATTTACAAAAGGTCTTTGGTAGATACACGTCCTGTAGAACAACTTGCTGTATCAAACATTCATCACTTTCCAGACATACACTCACATTCATATTCACAAGGAAAACATCGTTATCAACAAGGTTGATAATTGAATAGCTGAAAGAATAGTATACAAGCAAGTTTAAATTGCATTTATTGATGAGCTACTCAATAGCAATATTTGAGAAGCTTCAATTTCTGTCACTGTATACATGTAAATTAAAAAGAGCCCTCTCAAAGTAGGCTGAACCTTCATGGCTATTTAAGAATAGTCAAGTCTAGTTATATTTTCGTGTAACACTACATGAGGGTGCCTCATCTGGGCAGGATATGCTTTCCCTTTGTAGCAACTGAGATCCCCCCTATTTTTGGTGGGGTTCGTGTTGCTGTCTTTAGTTTGAAGACTGTTGTTTATCTTTTAGTCTTTTCTTGTTTTTAGACATGGTGTTGTCAGTTTGTCTTTTATTTATGAGTTTGAATATCCTGTTGGTATCTGCCACCTCTTTTTTCTTATTTTTATAGAAGAATAACAAGAATGTGTCCATAGTACACAGATGCTCCACTCGCACTATCATTTTCTATGTTAAGTGGTCCATGAAATTGGGGTCAAAACTCTAATTTGGCATTAAAATAAGAAAGATCATACCATAGGGAACATGTGTACTAAGTTTCAAGTTGATTGGACTTCAACTTCATCAAAATCTACCTTGACCAAAAACTTTAACCTGAAGCGGGCACTATCATTTTCTATGTTCAGTGTACTGTGAAATTGGGGTCAAAACTCTAATTTGGCATTAAAATTAGAAAGATCATTTCATAGGGAACATGTGTACTAAGTTTCAAGTTGATTGGACTTCAACTTCATCAAAAACTACCTTGACCAAAAACTTTAACCTGAAGCAGAACAGATGGACCAACGAACGGACGGACGAACAAACGAACGCACAGACCGAAAAAAAACATAATGCCCTTAAGAGGGGCATAATAAGTGGGGTAAAAAATAGTTCAATTTATCTATTAGATACATTTTTACACAATGCAAATTACTTACTCAATAATAAACACAGACAGCAGTTTAAACTGGTCAACAATTCCTAAAAGATATAAAATACAAAAGTTTGAAAAGAATCTATAGTTAAATTAGTAAAGAGGTATGTTTTGAATGTTTTGTAGCAAAATTAGAACCAGCAATTTGATACAGTATTACATGCTTTTTGCAAAGGGATTATCAAATTTTTCACATATAGCTTAATTTATATGTAAACTGTTGAAGTTAATTATAAAAAAGGTACATCCTCAATCAAGAATGATGCTGGAAATAAACAAAGTTTCAAAAAAAACATACTAGAATGTTTTAAGAAAATGATTGAAACCTGTGAGAAGATTAGATTTTTTACAAAATAGGAACCCCGTTTCCTTGCCCTCACATCATTCAATCATCATACAATTATCTAGATTTGCACTGTATGTAACAACATCCCACAATACTTGATTTGTGACACACAGAAATATAATATGAATTCTTTGTATAGCTGTTTGTTCTTCCCTAATATTCTAAGGAACTGTATGAATCATTTTCATCCTTTTTCATATTAAGTCCAAAAATCATCATTAAAAAACTCACCAAATTTATAATCAAACAGTGAAATATCAATTTCATATTTTTCAATTCCAATCCTCAGTCTGTTAGAGCAAGCATCAAGGAAAACAAACATATGGAATGATCGTTTTATAGGATCCACATCAATACAACATTCTACCCCTGTACAGATATCTGGAATATTACAAGTCACTGGTCCTGGCAGTGGCTGAAGATCAATAGGTTTCTCACAAGCTGAAAAAATAAATAATTGCAAACTGAATATATATTTTTCAGTAACACACATTCATTAATTTTTATGGTCAAAATGACTGTTAATTCAGAATTATCTTATTTTTTTTTTTATTAATGTGAAAATTGCAACATATGTTTTCACATTTTTTTTTTTAATTATATGTAGACTAAGCATTTCCCGAAATCACAACAATAAATCTCACATTTGTATTCATTGTTTAACAAATGCAACTAAAAATCAATAAAAACTAGAAATGTTTGAAAGGCACCACTTGAAAAAAAAGCTTGAAGCCATTTTCAGGAGTGGGAATTTTCAAAGTCTGAATCCTGTATTATGGCAAAAATCAGTGGAGAGCAACGAAACGTATACTTGATCTGTAACTCATCATAGCAGACTCATATACCAAAAATCAGCTCAATATCTAAAGGCGTTTAAAAACAAAAGTCCACATAACTGTTATTTTCACGAATTTTTCAAAGTGCAAAGCCTGTAATTTATACAAAAATCAGTCAAGAAGATCCAAACGGACACTCAATCTGTAAATCATCATAGCAGACTTATATACTAAAATTCAGCTGAATATGTGAAGGCATTTAGAAAAAAAGTCTGTATAACTGTTATTTTTCACAAAATCTTCAAAGTCCAAAGCCCGTAATTTCAACAAAAATCAGACTCAGTGGAGGTTCTTTTGTCATTACAAAACAAAAAAAAAAAAAAAAAAAACTACCTACCTACCCATGTATCTTACTGATGAGTAGGGTAAGGGCAAACTGAAATGTTTATAAGCCTGGCCTTACTGTTATTTTCAAAGTCCATAGCCCATAATTTCAATTTCAACACAAATCAGCAGAGAACAAGAGGATGTCAAATTGACAGCAAACCAGATTTCCCTGCATGAAAATAACATTTGGAAATCTGAACCCCCAGGGGTTGACACTAACTTTAAGCAGGTAGTAGTCTATAGGACTAGTAAAAACAAGAATGTGTCCATAGTACATGGATGCCCCACTCGCACTATCATTTTCTATGTTCAGTGGACCGTGAAATTGGGGTCAAAACTCTAATTTGGCATTAAAATTAGAAAGAATATATCATAGGGAACATGTGTACTAAGTTTCAAGTTGATTGGACTTCAACTTCATCAAAATCTACCTTGACCAAAAACTTTAACCTGAAGCGGGCACTATCATTTTCTATGTTCAGTGTACCGTGAAATTGGGGTCAAAACTCTAATTTGGCATTAAAATTAGAAAAATCATATCATAGGGAACATGTGTACTAAGTTTCAAGTTGATTGGACTTCAACTTCATAAAAAACTACCTTGACCAAAAACTTTAACCAAAAACTTAAACCTGAAGTGGGACAGACGGACGGATGGACAAATGGACGCACAGACTGAAAAACATAATGCTCATAAACGGGGCCAAAAAATACATAACTAGTCCTTCTAGTTTTGTTGAAGTCCCAAGGTGGCTCAGGTCACAAATCGACCTGAGCTAAGCGGGCGGGGAAATTTTGAAAAATAAGATGCAAAATCCTGCATTCTGAAAGCTTTTGACCAATTTTTTTCGTCTCAAATTTACATTTTTAATGTTTTATTTTCAATGAAAAATGTGATATATAAGGGTCTGGATTTGGGGGGGGGGATTCATTTCTGTATTCTTTTCATCCATTTTTCTGTATTCTTTATACTTTTTGCCTCTTATTCTCTAATCTTTATATTTTAGCACCTCATTATTTTCTATTCTTTCTTTTTTTTTCCATTTTTCTCTATTCTTTATATTTTTTGCCTATTATTCTCTATCATGTAACCCCATCCACACCCTCTTATATCCCATTAAAATTCTTTGCTGGCTATAAATAACCAGATACGTCGTTGTCTTTAATTTAGGTATTTCCCATATTTTCCCACCTAAAAGCACATGGCTGCCAAAAAAAATGTAAACACACAAATTTTGCATGTGTCCATGATTTGTTTGCAGGATTACTGCTTTTATTAATTTAATTTGGATATATATATTTAATTTAAGGTACAGTCAAACATTTGCATTAATAAAATTGAGAATGGAAATGGGGAATGTGTCAAAGAGACAACAACCCGACCATAGAACAGACAACAGCAGAAGGTCACCAACAGGTCTTCAATGCAGCGAGAAATTCCCGCACCCGGAGGCGTCCTTCAGCTGGCCCCTAAACAAATATATATACTAGTTCAGTGATAATGAACGCCATACTAAACTCCAAATTGTACACAAGAAACTAAAATTAAAAATAATACAAGACTGACAAAGGCTAGAGGCTCCTGACTTGGGACAGGCGCAAAAATGCGGCGGGGTTAAACATGTTTATGAGATCTCAACCCTCCCCCTATACCTCTAGCCAATGTAGAAAAGTAAACGCATAACAATACGCACATTAAAATTCAGTTCAAGAGAAGTCCGAGTCTGATGTCAGAAGATGTAACCAAAGAAAATAAACAAAATGACAATAATACATAAATAACAACAGACTACTAGCAGTTATTAAACTGACATGCCAGCTCCAGACTTCAATTAAACTGATTGAAAGATTATGTCTTCATCATATGAAATAGAATAGTTTGCATACAATTTTTTATTTTCAACATGGTCATACGATGTTTGCCTTTTCAACCATCAGAGACAATGCAAATAAATGCAATCAGCTATCAATTTAGGCAGTGTTCTATCCAATTAATTTCTTAGTTGCCTCTGATATGATAATTTGATTATGGGTATCTGGAAATTTGAACAATTTGAAACTAATTCGATTCAAACTCTTGTGCAATTAGGATGTTCGTTTCCGCATACTGGTTTACTTCTACCAATCGATATTCACGGAACCAGTTTTGTGGTGCTCCTGCTGGAGAATTTATCACCGTTCAGTATTAAACAGTTACAGAGCACGCAGTCGAGCTTGTCAAAAATTAAAACTCGCTGATTTAAACAGTAAATAATTTGGGGTGGGGAAGGGTGGTGAAAAGATGAATTTTTACTAGCCCAAAGGACTACTGAGGTAGACATGTTTACTAGTCCTTCATGTATTTCACTAGCCATGGGCGACAGGACTAGCGTTAGTGTCAAACCCTGACCCCCAAACAAGATCAAGTAAAAAAAATAAATAAGTTTTTGTAAGTTCAGAAATGGAAAGGTCAAACTGATCTATTTATTATAAGTGACATTATATTGGAATTTAAGAAGGTATATAAGTACACACACACATTTGTTCAGCAGGGGTGGGTAGGAATAAGAAGTCATGAAGTCAATGATTAAAGAAATATGTTATGAGTCTACAACTCAACAACAATAAAAGCTAAAATTGTGAAAATCAACCATGACCTTCATTTAGTCACAGCATTTTCATTTTAATGAACGGCACTTGTTTGGCAGCCGCCCACCCGCCCGCCGTACATCCCAAAATCAATAACTGTACTAAAAATGTCCTTCGCCGAGCGCAGCTGGATATGACCGCAGAGGTCCAACCCTGAACAGTTGGGGCAAAAATGGACACAATATTCAAGCTTGATACAGGTCTGAATTTGGATTGTAATTAAATATTTGACACATTATTGGTTTCTGACACAGAATAAATGTAGTCAAAGAACTTGAAATTGGTTATATGATTTGAATTTATATTCAATTGAAGATTTCTTGCTGTTGTGCAATACACTGTGCTGTTGCACAATACTTAGTAAATCTGTTTTCAGACTATATACAAAGAATTAGCAAAATAAATTGTGACCCCCAATTTTTTTTTGGGAAAATTGATAATGTCTTATATCTTGAGGGAAAAAATTGACACCCCCCTCCCCAAAAATCTTTCCCCCCCCCCCCCCTAAAAAAAATAAATTTGAAAAAAAATTCTTTTTGTAAAATGTGGTACAATTTAAGAGACATCCATACACTTAAACACAAGTTATTGTATGAAAACTAGAAAAATGCTTGTTTTGGCCGCTTTTTGGCCCCTAATTCCTGAACGGTTTAGGCAATTACCCCCAAAATGAATCCCAACCTTCTACTTGTGGTATTGAACCTTGTGGTACAATTTCAGAGCAATCAAAATACTTCTACACAATTTATTGTCCTGAAACTAGAAAAATGCTTGTTTTGGGCTCCTTTTTGGCCCCTAATTCATAAACGGTTGGGACAATCACCTCCAAAAACAATCCCAACCTTCCTTTTGTGGTATTGAACCTTTTGGTTAAATTTCATAAAAGATCCATACACTTAAACTAAAGTTATTGTACGGAAACCAAATGTCTTCTGACGACGACGTGATAGCAATATACGAACGCAAATTTTTTGCAGTCGTATAAAAATCAGCTCAATATGATCATAGTAGACTCGTATACTGAAAATCAGCTCAATATGTGATGCCATTTAGAAAAAATCTATATAACTGTTATTTTCATGAAATTCTCAAAGTGCAAAGACTGGAATTTTGGCAAAAATCAGAGGAGCCAAACCAAACGTAAACCTCATTTGTAACTTATTATAGTACACTCACATACTGAAAATCAACTCAATATGTGAAGGTGTTTAGAAAAAAAGTCAGTATAACTGTTTGTTGTGGAATGACGGAATGACAGATAAATGTAACACTAAATGGTCTCGATCGGCAGGGGCCATAAAAATTCTCAATTAACAGATATCAGATCTATAAATATATCTTAAATTTCTCTTCACTGGACTTTCCATTACAATATATATTTGTGTCACTCTCATTTTGTAAGTCACCTAATATTGACAAGAGTCATTACATTGGACTATAGAAAATAATTTATAACTAAGTTTATAACTTATTCAAATGTTTATTGTCTCCAAATTTGTATTGCTTGTTTAATTTAGTTGGAACTTGCTTTTAATAATTATTTGGAACTTTCTATATATATTAATTATGTGCATATGTAGACAAACATGAGAATTATTTAAGAAATATAGTTCAGTGTGTATAGATTTAGTAGCTAATATGGCTACTTCTTGTTTGAGAGGCTGGTGCTATTGGAAAGGTTCAAATAATTCAAATAACAAACATGGCATTCAAGTGCAAATACTGTTCTTACTTGTATTCCATCCATCATAACTAGGACTATAGGGAGAAACTGCTCTGTTACATTTTGGTTCAGACATAAATTTGGCTATTCCAAGTTCTTCCAGAAGTAAATCTACAACATAGTCTGTCACCGAATCTGCATCTATCCCAAAAGACTGAGTCCAATTCTTTAATGAAAATCCTGCAAAATCAATATTACATATATATTGTATGTTTAATATGACAAATACCAGATAGACTCAAAGGGACTTAAAAAAATGAAAACCAAATGTTAAAAATTTCATGTGTCTGAAGCGCTTTTCTGGATTTTCCTTCATTAGGAACGCCCCCGCTTGCATATCATATAGTTATAAAGGGACAAAACTGACGAACGGTAAAAGTGATGCTATCTAAATTTGAACTTGATCTGAGTTTTGTGGTAATAAGTATTGTGCATAAGTTTCATAACATTTGGTTGAGGCAAACTAAAGTTAGAGAACGGAAACGAAAAATTCAGCAATTTTTCCATTTGTAAAGGGGCATAACTCTAGAACAGTAAAAGTGACACCACCAAAATTCAAACCTGATCTGTATTTTGTGGTAATAAGCATTGTGTATAAGTTTCATAACATTTGGTTGAGGCTAACTTAAATTAGAGAGCTGAATTTTTTCCATTTGTAAAGGAGCATAACTCTAGAACGGTTAAAGTGTCACCACAAAAATTAAAACTTGATCTGTATTTTGTGGTAATAAGCATTTTGTATAAGTTTCATAACATTTAGTTGAGGCTAACTTACATTAGAGAACGGAAACGAAAAAATTCAGCAATTTTTCCATTTGTAAAGGGGCATGACTCTAGAACGGTTAAAGTGACACCACCAAAACTCAAACTTGATCTGTATTTTGTGGTAATAAGCATTGTGCATAAGTTTCATAACATTTGGTTGAGGCAAACTAAAGTTAGAGAACAGAAACGAAAAATTCAGCAATTTTTCCATGTGTAAAGGGGCATAACTCTAGAACAGTTTAGGTGACGCCACCAAAATTCAAACTTGATCTGTGTTTTGGAGTAATAAGCATTGTGTATAAGTTTCATAACATTTGGTTGAGGCAAACTAAAGTTAGAGAACGGAAACCAACTTTGGGACGTACATACGGACGGACAAGGGTAAAACTTTATGCCCCCTGCGCTACAGCGGGGGCATAAAGACTACATACACGTGTCTGGTGTATTGCTCAAGTCCTTTAAGCAAATTCTAGTGAAATTTTCCCAATTTAAGCTGCTAATAAATATTCAAATGAGAAAATGTAGACAATATTCTTTATATGTTATGAACAATTGAAAAACTAAATATCATTGAGATGGGAGCCATCTCTGTGGGCCCCGCTGTGAATAATGTGTGGTAAAAAATTTGTATCTTTATCATTGGACATGGGGTTGTCAACTGAAACCAAAGTTTTTGACCTTGATCTTTGACCTAGGAAGTTGTACATAAATTATGACACACCCTCTGGTGTTGGTTTATATACATATCAAGTATAAACTTTGAAATCATAACGGTTCTCAAGATATAGAGCGGAGATGATCTTTACCATAGGACATGGGGTTGTCAACTAAAACCAAAGTTTTTGACCTTGACCTTTGACTTAGGAAGTTGTACATACATTATTACACACCCTCTGGTGTTGGTTAATATACATGTCAAGTATAAACTTTGAAATCATAACGGATCTCTAGATATAGAGCGGACATAATTTGTTACGGATGGACAGACAGACGGACGGACAGACTGATCACTATAGGGCGTCCGCCATTCGGCGAGGCCCTAATTAAAACAAATCATTAATATGTACATTTCTGCTAATGACCTCAAAATCTCAGTTTTTGTCATCTGTTAAAAAAAATCACACTGTGTTGATACTGCTCAATTTAGTACATATCTGAATTGCTGTTCACATCATTCAAAATATCAGTTAAACTAACAGTCATCTTAAATAAGGTATCAGCTTAAAAAAAATGAAAGAACCTTTGTGAACTCACTCACATACCCAACATCTCAATATTCTCACTGGGCAAACCAAATCTCACCAGATTCCTAAGTTCAAAGACTCATAACTCCTACAAAAGTCAACTGATAAAATTTCTGGTGGATGTGCACATCTACATATTATGTCCTTATTATCTACAAAGTTTAATAGACTTCTGTTTTGTGGTTTCAGAGGAGTTGCAATGACAAACTGTTGCAGTAGTATATTCAGGCCAAAATTTTAAGTTCAAAGTGGTTAAGGCCTAGAGAAAAAAATTGAATCATAATTTCCTGTCAATATGCACATCTACAGTCCCTGTAACGTAAAAGTTAACACTTTTTTCATTCGGGAATCGTACGTACAGCGTTCGGGAATCGTTCGTATAGAGTTCGGTCATCGTTCGTACATCATTCGTATAGCGTCCGTACAACGTTCGGTCAGCGTTCATTCATCGTTCGTTCATCGTATGGTAAATGTCATCGTTTAGGGTTTTGTATATCGTATGGTTCATGGTATCGTTAAGCGTTTTATTTGTCGTATGGTACATGGTATGGTTTAGCGTTTAGCGTTTCGTTTATCGTATGGTATATGATATCGTTAAGCGTTTCATCTATCGTATGGTATATCGTTTTGTTAAGCGTCTGATATATGTTAGGGTTTTATTTCAGAAAGTTATTTCAATTATTATTTTGAGTTAAAATAAATTAATATAAAAAGATGCGGGATAAAAAAAAACACAATTATTAGTTTGGATTGATTGAAAGTTGGTTGCGTACTTGTATATCCCAAACAACCAAACGGGTGCCCCCACTTTGGCAAGTTTTTATTTACTACCAGCCGTAAGAAAACCTTTAGTGACCATATTTATATCCTTTTGTCACCCTTTGGACTATATTAGATTGGAAAGATTGGATTGGAAACATTTCACTTGTTAATTAAAGCAAATAAGTTATCTTATTTATTATATATTTTGTTTCATACTAACTGCGTAGTTCTTGATGTCTTTTTGTAATTTTGAATCATTTCAAATTCGATCTTATAAAATGTTAAAAAAAAACTAACCTATACAATACCCTTAGTTAATTGAAACGTGAACTATTTATTTACATAAAACATATTTAGTCGTAAAAATAGTATTGGTTGTAAACGTTTTATCTTGATTGAGAAACGTTTAGCAATGCAATAAACTTACTTTAAATGTACTATAACTTAACGTAGATTTCGAACTGTAAATCATATCTTACCGATAGAAAAACAATCTGCAACTAATATCATTATAGAATACCCTGCTATATAAAACGAAGGGGAAACATTTCCTTACACCACATTTTGAGATCATGAATAACATGAGACCAATTTGAAATACCGCGAAATAAGTCTCTCTCTTTCTCTCTCTCTCCTCCACCAAATATTTCCTTGAAACAACAAATTATATATAATGTTCTATAAATGAGGCTTTATATGAGATACACGTTTTATTTTTAAATGTATTTAAAGAAAAGACAAGACATCCATGGTATTTGTTCCCCTCAATGTCACAGTCTGATATAAACCGAAAATTGCCAGGGATATATAAAAATTCGTTGAAGACTTCTATGGAACCAGCGTCGCTTGTGATTCCTGCTGTCGGTGTTAAAACTGTTATTTTGACTGTAAACAGTGCTTAAGTCCATGTATGAGTAAAATACAGAATTAAAAAAATAACTCTACCGTTTTTTATATTTCTTTATTTTAGAGGTAAGCTCCTGGCCAATTTTCACCAATTTTAACGCAAATCATTTACCTTAAATAACCAATCAATTGTATTCTAAAAGTTGTTGATTTGTTCTGTGTACGAATACATGAAATATTTGTCACTGGACGTTATGCATGCAATCGATGATCAAATACAAATCTACAGTATTTATAAACATACTGCAGTTGTATATATGAAAGAGACTAAATAATATAAATTTTAATTATTTTACGCATATTTGAAGGATCGAAATAACCACTTCCACAAATGGTTGTTATTGAAAGACTTAAAATTTTACAAATATCACATGCCTCTATGAAATTTCATATCGACGCACCAAACTATTTCCTTTAATCGTGCATAGCTCATTTTCCAAATCACTTAAGGTTTTTAACGATCTTCTTACTTGTTCATTACATTCTAAAATTAAAATCCTACACAAATTGCCAAAACTTTTATTCTCAGGCTAGACAGCGTAAAAGATGAATACTGATTTGTTAGTGTACACACGGTGTTTTGAAGGCCGATACTGATGATCCAATTTCGCTGAAAAAGAATTAATTTGCGCCGCAAATTAATTACGCTAATTCTTTTTTCGTATCACTTTATTTTAAAAACTGCAGCATTCATTTGCGCCAATAAAACAAGCATGTAATTGCGCAAATGTTATAGACTTATTTGCAAATTGTTGTTCTTAGTGCACTAAGGAGGCCCTTTGCGGTATTTCTACTTGTTCACTAAGAACAAAATATTGCACTAAGGACCAGTCCTGATGGAATGATAGAATTGACACAAAAAACATGGCATATAGAAGGAATATAATTTCAAATTTTATAATCATATCTTTAGTACCCGGTAATTATAAATTTATTTAATGTTTTATCGACACGCGCCACCCTCTGTTGATTGTCACCTGTGTAATCGATAGCAATTCATGTTCGTTCAACCTTGACCCGTTTTGAATCCGCTTGTATTTTAAATTAACATGTTTATGATATTTCAATTGTCTCTGATTTTTTTCGTCTGTTTGTTACTGTCGTATTTCTTTTGTTTTTCTGACTGTTATATTTTTTAGTTCAATGTAATAATGTATGTTCTACTATTTTTTTATTTTTTTTTTCCTTCTAATTTCTCTAACAGTTTATTACATTTTTGTCGAGCCTGCGACTTTTGTCGCAAAAGCGAGACGTATAGCGATCCTACATTCCGTCGTCGGCGTCGGCTAGCGACATCCACATACTCACTCTGTGGTTAAAGTTTTTGAAATTTTAATTACTTTCTTAAACTATCCAGGATTTCTACCAACAGAAGAATGTTTATGATCATAAGATAGTATCCAGAAGTAAAGTTTGGAAAAAAAATCCTGGTTATCTGTGTTTAACTTACATGTATAAATGGACTTTTTTTCTCTCAGTTAACATTACATTCATTCTGTGGTT